AAGACTTCTTTAACAGGCGCACTTCGTAAGGCTGTAGCTGCCACGGATGGTGCTTCCTCTGGTGGGAAGAGTCCGCTGAAAACCTGCCGGAAAGGAGTCACCGTTCTCGATGCCAGAAAACCTGCCGGAAAGGAGTCACCGTTCTCGATGCCACTAAGAACGTACGTGATTCGCAGGAAGAGGCCAAAATGTCAGTTGTGACAGGAGTTTGGCAGAAGGCGATGCCAGCCCTCAGGGACGACCTCGAGGGGTTCGGGACACGGGCGAGGAAGTCCATGCAGATGTGGGGGAACAGGAAGAGAACAGAACCAGAGGTGGAGCCTGCGGGTGGGGCTGGACGGCTTCCGTCTCACGCTTCACCAGACGAGGACCCGCTCCTTCCGGGTGAGCAAGTGAGGAGGTTTCTGGAGCTGGAACCCACTCCTGCTGAAGGCGCCGCGTGGACGGTCGAAATGACCACAAAGGGTTGAGAACAGCTTGTAAACGGAGTCGCTAAAGCCGCAGCACGTGTGAGCGGCTGGACCCCAGGCGTGAAGGAAGTTCTCCTGTGGGTACGATGCTGTCGAACAGCATCGCACGCTACGGAGGGGCCTTTCGGGAAAGAGTCAGCACAGCAGACTTGATCGTCTCATTTCAGAACTTGCCAGAACCACCCCAGCCTCCGGCAACCTCCACCCTGACGGTCAGCAGCCGGCGGCCTCCAGGAAAACCTTCCACCGGCAGAAAGGTTACAGCCCGCTGCAGGCTTGGGTGATGGTTAACGTTTGTTATTTAAGTTCAATTTCTTGTTTTCACATAGAGCTAGGGCACGCTTAGCAGACTGTGAACACAGCTTTCTGTGCCCTGGGAAACCAAAAACTTGGTTTTGTTGCAGTGATCTGGAACCGACCCCCAGGATCCCCGAGGTGCTCTTGTGCAGGGTCCAGTACGGTTCTTGGAGCCAGTCTGGTTCTGGGACAGAACATCCGGGCATGGTTTTGCCCAATTTTTCTGTTCCTGTGGATGCTCTAAAACCAGAAGGTTATTTTTGGATGGTCTGAGGGAGAGAAGAGAGCGCAAGTACACAAAGAAATGGGGGCTCGAACCATTCTGAGCTCCGGAAGGTGGTGTGCGGGGCGCTGGGGGCTGGGGCCAACGGCAGGAAGCAGTCCTGGCCAGCCAGGGGCCACTATTCCCGGTAGAAGGCGGCAGGCGGCTGGGGCATGGCACCTCAGCCCTGAAAAGGTGTGGGGGCCGGGGGGCCTTGTGAGCGAGACGGGGTCGTGATCCGGTCCACTCTGGGAAATGGGCCAGGGTGCGGGGAGGTGCTTGGTCTAGGCCGGGGCTGTGCCTCAGCACGGCGGATGCTCTGGACCCCTGTGCTCTGTAGGATGCCGAGCCCCGCCCCCCTGGCCATGGCAGCCAGGGGTGCCCAGGCGTTGCCAGCATCCGGCAAGAGGGAAGGGTGTCGAATCGCCAGTGTTGTGAGGGCCAGCAGGCGGGGAGACAGGTTTCCGAGCAATGAGTGTGGGGAGCAGGGGTACAGCAGGAGTCATTTACTGGCGTTGGGAAGGCTGGGATTTTTTTTTTTAACAAACGTACCAGTAGAGCTCATCCCACGAGCAGCGTGCAATAGGAGTGCTTCAGGAGCAGGTTAGTTGGAGCGCACTTCTCCTGGAAGGTCCTTCCAGCCCCCTTTTGTGCTGTTAGCACTAAAGCTTCTTGCCCTGGTGAGAGGTGTGGCCCCAGGGAACAGGCTCAGAAGGTCGAGGCCAGAGTGCCCCCAACTCACCTGTTGGGGTGCAGGTTCCAGTTTGGGGCCTGAGGTTCCACGTGTCTGTCCGGCTCCTAGGTGACTCTGCGTTGAGTGGGACAGTGTGGCCCTTCTTGGGAAACAGTGGGGCTGAGCCGTGTCCTCA